CCGTTCAACCTCCAAAATCACAACTTTCATAAATCAACATGAAAAAAAGAAATAATTATACCATCTTGTAGAGAAAATAGTATAGGTAAATTTCTTATTTCACACTTTAGCCCAAAATCCTAATAAATTGAACCAAAAATAGAAAAAATATAAAACACACTTACCTAGCTATGAAGACCCGACAGCAGCTGAATAGGGGAAAGAGTTCATGAAATTTATTGAGAAAATATCTCCCCCTTATCTTTAATATATGATTAGAAAAATGAATTTTATATTCATTTTGGGCCAAAAACCTAAAATACCATTAATGAATTCTCAAAATTACATCCATGCCACTCAATGACATCATCCCTTACCTCATCATATCCAGAAAAATATCTAAATTCTGATTTTTCATGTTTGTCTTTGTAATTTTTGAAAAATCCAATTTAGTCACCTAATTCCAAATTTTGTGCTTAACATGGAAAATCGACCTTAATTCCATTGATCCATGTTAAATTTCACTTTTCTAAAATATATAAATAATATTTCCAACCTTTATCTAGCATCCTGAATATTTTTGTGAAATTTTGATTCGATCTGATTATCCGATTTCAATACCGAACTTTACCGCTTTGTAGCCTTTAACACAAATCTCGTACCGAAAATATGATTTCCACTAAAATCCTTGTTTTCGGCCAAACTGTTCATTTACGGGCTAAAATATATAACTTTTAAAATTGCAAATTTCAGTACCTACACTTTTCAAAGTTTATACTTTAGCCACTAAACTTTCAAAACTTACATTTTAGTCACTGGTCAAATTTTTGGGGTATTACAATTATCATGTAAACTTCGTGAACTGGTATGTAATAGTCTTGACGGTTTGATTCAGTAGGTCAAAAGTTAAATATATTTTTTGTATTATGAAATTTCTTATCAATTTTATTATTTTTGCATAACTAACGTGTTAAATTTATGTATTGAATTTTTTTAATAATTATCTTAATTATTTAATACCTATTTATTCATCTCTATTTAAAAAAATAGATAGCAAATATATTTTCACAATTTTTATTTTTGCATTTAAGTTTTCATTTTTATTAACAAAAAAATTCTAATTTTTTAAAAAAATTGAAAATAAAAACTATTTTTTAGAAATAAAAACAGAAAACAAAAATAGAAAATAGAAAATATTTTCTATAACCAAACGGACATTTTTCATAACATTCTCGATTTGCAACCAAAATTATTATAAAGTGTATGTCTTTTTCAGTTGTAAACCCTTCCAAATTTTTCTTAATTAACTGAAAATCTTGTTAAAGAGTGTAACTTTTGAACTTGGATAAGATAATATTTTATATTCAAAATTGTCTTAAATTAACCTTAAATTGGGTTACCGCACAAACATAACTGCCAAATGAGTAAATTGGTATGGTTCCAAAGCTTGAGTTTTGATTTCATGTTTCCATTCAGAACTCCATAGCCGCTACGTGAATCTCTAAATTGCAAATGGTCGATGTCTCTTATAATGACTTCACTTGTCTATTCCCGAAATCTCACTGCTCTTTAAGAAGATGAAGCTGAATACGGATACGATGAAAATTATCTCTAATGCTCTATAATTCATATTTAACATAACACACAAAAAGATAAGATTATTTAAACTTTGTAAGTTTAATCAATTAGGGGTTGTCTGGTTCAAGGAACGTGGGATTCTATGGGAATAGAATCCACATTCCCATGTTTGGTTGACCGGGAATCTCATTCCCGGTAATGTTTTATTACCAATAGTAGATTTTTGTGATATATTATCGGGAATGTCATTACCTCCCTTTCCTTAAGTATTATTGAATTACCAGCGTTTTGGACTAAAATGCCCTTAATTTTTTTTTTCAAAAATATTCTTTTTCTATCATTGAATAATAAAAATTCTACGAATGTTAAATTACAAATTTATCCTTAAACTATTTTAGATTTACAAAAAAATCTATAATTAAAATTTTATATGAAGTTCAGGGGTTAAAATAAAAATTTACCCTTTCATTAAACATTTCTATATTTTCAATTTTGTAAATATATATATATTATGAATTTAAATTTTTTAAAGAAAATATATAAATATTTTTCAACTTGTTAAAAAAATAAATATATTATAAGGACAATTTGGTCAAATATACATTCCAATGATCTTTTATTCCTTTAACCAAACACGGTAATCTTACATTCCTGCTAAACCAACAAAACACAAAATACAACATTCCCAGTAATCATATTCCCTGATAATTTTTCATTCTCACTGGTAATCTTATATTCCATAATCCAAATACATCTTAGGTTCGCACGAGTGGTTAAGGGGTAGACTTATGATCTACTGCATTCTAATGCGCCTGAGTTCGAGCTTCACAGCCGGCATTTTGAAATTTTCATCATCTATCCCCACAATTAATTTTTGTTACAATCAAGTCAAGAAAAAGTCACTTTTCGGTTAAAAATGAAACCGAAACCTAAAGATTAGGGATAAGACTTTTAGCTTTCCCCATTTGTAGGTATGTATGGCAATGGTCGGACTTTTGGTCAATCCAATCCGATCTGAAAATATGTATCTTCCATCATTTATGAATCAAAAACTATATATCTTTCATTCGATTCAATCCGAATTTTTAGAATATAAATTCGACCCGAATGGAACCCATATTTTTTTTTAAAAAAAATCGACCGAATAAGATTGGATCGGGTCGAATCAAAACCTGTCGATTTTAGATTAAATTGACTTTATTTGGGCCATTGATTAAGATTTGGGTATTGAGCAATCCTGAACGAAGATATGTGCTCATAATATTTAAAAGTTTTTATCATTGTAGTTTGTGTCCTCTTAATTTTTTTGTTTTTCTCTCAAGTTATTTGTTCTTCACCGATGTTCATCGTTTGTGCACTCTTCCCATTTCACACTTCACTGTCTTCCCCCTCCTTTCATCTTCGTAGTCATCTTCTCACCTTCCTTTCGGGTCCCCTCCTAATCATTGTCTTCATCCTCTCTCTACCTATCCTTACTCTCTTTCTCTACCACCAAATCACTTCCTTCCATGATAAAGCTTTACAGTCAAATTCTTTCCACTTATTTCCCTAAAACACTCATATAAAAATGTATTAAATTTAAAAATATTTACATATGATTAATTAAACTTTAGTTCAATTAACACCTTCCAGAATCTTGATTAAATTTGGAGAGATTGTGAATAATATTATAATGTATGCATGTTATTCAATTCGATTTGATTGAAACTTTTTAAAGGTTGGATCATTTGATTTGATCTTTTCACGCTCTAAAATTGAGGTTAGCATTTTTGTCATGATAATCTAAAATTTTGTTGGCTTAAATTTGAATTTAAGGGCTTAATCAAGAAAAACTGAAATTTAATAGGCCGAGTTGTAAAGATTCAATAAATTAGAGTCAAAAGTATAAAATTAGGCCAAATTGAAAAGATTCAATAAATTAGAGTCAAAAGTATAAAACTTGTAAAGTTTAGTGTCACTTCTAAAAACCCTAAAATATTTAGTAACTTGCTCTGTAATTTGACTGATTTAAACTATATTGAGTCTTTTTCTATATTAAACCACGAGTTTCATTGTTTGACTCGAACTAATTTATTGTTGTTATTATAAGAGATTTTAATTTAATAACAGTGCATTAGAGAGAGAGTTCTCTACCTATTTTTTATTTACATGTAGAAAGAAATAAAAAGATAATTTAAAATAAATTAAAATAAATAAATTTTATTAACTGAGATTATATATAACATAATAAATCGAATTTATCTAATAATTTTTGTTTTTCAAAATTTAAAGAGAGCACAATATATAACCAGGGGCGGACTTTCATGGGGCTAAGGCTTAAGAGGAGCCTGGCCCGCTAATTATATTTTTAAGTATTAAATAATATTAAAAATATACTTTTGAAAAATAAATAAAGAAAAATTTATCAATCCCTCAATTAAAAAATTGTATTTATGAACAATAAAAAATATTTTAACTCCCGCTATAATAAATTTATAGTTTCGTCTCTAGATGCATTCTTATTCGTTCGTTTAACTTTAGTTGAACAAACACGAACAACTAAATGAATGCAATTTCTTGCTTGCGTTTGTTCATTAAAGAATGTAGCTTGTTCATGTTCGTTCGTGTTTGTTCGTTAAAATGATAAACGAACACAAATGAACAAACGTAAACAATACAAAGGAACGAACATAAACAAACATAAATGAACATAAAATTAATCGGGTTTATATTTGAGAAGAAATTTTTTATTTTCAAATAATTTTATGGTTTATATTTTCTTTAAATGATTTACCTATTTTTATTAGGGTTTAAAATTAATTAAATTTTAAAATATTAATGAGTTTAATGTTACAATTTATCAATCTTAATATTTTAAATGAGATTGGAGATTGATTGAATATAAATGAACGAACATATAACATAAATAAACGAACGAATTACAGAACGTTTACGAAAGTAAATGAACAAATTGTTCATGTTCGTTCATTTAATTAAACAAACATAAAATATTATTCATGTTCGTTTATTTAATAAATAAACGTGTATATATTAACTTCCTGCCAAACAATTCATGAACAATTCATTGAATATTTGGTTCGGTTCGAGACCCATCTATCACCTTTCAAATTCAAATTATAAAGTTTTTTGATAAAAAATATATAAATAGTTAAAAATTGATTTAGTAAAATAAAATATTAAATTCTTTAAATAAGATCAATGATTACTCAATCGAAATTAATCAATTTATAAATTAGATATAAAAAAATGACTTAGGATTATAACAGCCGTAGGATTTAATCTGTACGGATATAGAAAATTAATAAAAATAACTAACCGCTAGATTTCATCAACTAAATTAACGGTGGGAATGAGTTCAAATAGCGGCGGGTAAATCAGATTTTTGGGCCTTTAAGTAGAGAGAACTCGAATGCTTAGCCCATCAACTTCCTCAATTTCTTTCTTTCATTTTCGCTCACGTTTTCTCTCTATATTTGTTTCTTCTGCGAATCCCAGATTCGTCGATGAGAGAGAAGGGGGAGATGGAATTCCAGTCTCTCTCTAGGGTTTCTATTGGAGGGAATCAGCGGCACTTTTTCTGAATCCAGGTTTTGGAATTCGAGATTGTTGTGGAGCTGACTTTGGGTTTCATCCGATCGCATTTCAAAAGGGTTTATTCCCGAAATGAGCTTAGATTAGTTTTTTTTCCTAAGATTAGTTTTTTTAGTTCCCCTTTTCTCTGCTTGCTAAGTATTGAATCTTTCATATTTTCTCTAATAATTCCTCGTCGCCGAGACCAATTCGTTTCAAGTATTTGTTTGAAAGCGAGGGAAAAAGAAGTTTAACTTTGAGATTTTGAGCTGCAAAAAAAGTGAAGTAAAGAGTTTTAGGGCTTGTTGAAAGGGAATTGATTTGGAACTTATGAAGAAAGTGTATAATTTTGGTGTTTTCATTAGGGTTTAGTTGAACATTCTGATATTTGATGAATGTGAACCTTAGATTTGAGATTGATGTTTGCTGGAGGTGTATAAAGGGCTGCTGGATAGGTTGCAAATTTGCAGTTTTCTTGCAATTAGAATACTTTTGAAAAGTAATGAAATGCTCATTTGTGAACTTCTGAAAGAATTTAAACCAGTTTCGAATTTGAGGTTGTAACAAGTGGTGGATCGAGTATCGTTGAATTATATAACTATGGAAGATTATGAGTCTTACCGGAATTGTTAATATGTGCTGTCATTGGAAGTTAATCTTATGGCACAAACTATTCCGTTTGAATATGCAGGACTGAAGGAATCTGGAAAGTGTTCATTTTCGCAATTGATGGGGAAGTCTAAGGATCATTTTAAGGAAGGGAAATCTTCTGGTTTAATCCCTGGTTACAGGCGTGTGGTTGAGAACATGGGGGAATCAGAAGGGATAGGGAGCTCAGGACGGATCGGTGCAGAAATGACAGCATCAGAGGGTTCGTGTGCACCTACAAGGAAATGTATCAGTTTGAATGCTTGTAGTTATGATAATTTTGGAGTCCCCAGGCAAGCTTTGCAGTTGTCAAAGATGTCACAATCAGAGAGAAAGGATTTGGTGTTGAGATTAAAACTGGAGCTTGAACAGGTTCGATTGCTACAGAAGAAAGTTGCTAGTTTCGGCTCGAGTGTTGACTTTTTATCGCCATCTGTGGACAAAAGGAGTTGCAGTGATGGGAACAAGAGGCCTCCACTTGAGAATTTTAACCGGTCTGGAGTGTTGAGTCCACAAGGGAAGAAACGACCAGTTGAAGGACACAACGGAACCAACAGAAAAAAGACCACATCTGGACGTTTTGAACAGAAGCCAGCTGTGGCTGTGAGTATTTCAAATGCTTATTTGATGAAGCAATGCAAGGCTTTGCTTAACCATTTGATGCAACATAATTTTGGTTGGGTTTTTAACAACCCTGTTGATGTGGTGAAGTTGAACATTCCGGATTATTTCACTGTCATTAAGCATCCTATGGATTTCGGCACTGTGAGGAAGAAGATGGCTTCAGGGAAGTATGCTAGTCAATTGGACTTTGCTACTGATGTTCGCCTTACACTCTCAAATGCAATGACATATAATCCACCTGGGAATGATGTCCACACTATGGCTGAGACGCTAAGCAAATATTTTGAAGCAAGATGGAAAGCTATAGAAAAGAAGCTTCCTATAACAATGAATGTTGATGCTAAGCCTTCAATATCAGCGGAGCGTATAGAAGTTGAAACGAATTGTAACATTTTACCTTTGGAAAAGAAAAAAATAAACCTAAAAGAAAGTATTATCAAACCAGAGGCCATTGGACAGATCATGACCAATCAGGAAAAGCAGTCTTTGAGCACAGAACTAGAGTCTTTGTTGGGTGAATTGCCTGAAAATATTATTAACTTCCTTAAAGAACATAGTTATACTGATGGTCAAATGGGTGAAGATGAGATTGAAATTGATATCGATGCTCTTAGTGATGAAACCTTGTTTAAATTGCGAAAACTTTTGGATGAATATTTGCTGGGGAAACAGAAAAACCAAGCAAAAGCAGAACCTTGTGAAATGGAGGTAGTCCTAAGTCTCTATCTCACCCACTGATTTTTCTATCCAGAGTGCAAGATTGATTTTTTTTCTTTTTTTTCGTTATTGTAGCTTCGTAATGAGTCGGGATTTAACAATTCACCGATGCAGCCATGTAAAGGTAATTTACTTTATTTCTGCCATTCCTGGATTATTATCTGATAGAAAGGTCAAATCGTAACTGATATTCTCTTCTATCTCTAGGTAATGATCAAGTTGAAAAGGTCATAGATATAGTTTCTGGCAGTGATATCCCACTTCTAAATGCTTTCCTGTAGAAATAGAGAAGGATTGAACTCATATAAACCGTAAAATGCAGTAGTTCCAGTAGCTCAATTGGTGAATCTGGTTCTCTTTCTAGTGGTTGTTATTGTTTAGGGGTGTAAATGAGACAATTTGTGCTTGTGAGCTTCTTGAATTCAAATAAATAAAACAAAATTTGAGTTGTAAATTATCTAGCCTAGTTCGAGCTCGAGCTATCGAGTGAGTCAAATTCAAACATTGTAATACCAGATTCAAACAACTTTCAAGACTAAACCTTTAATATATATATATATATATTGAAAAATTTAATATATATTTTAAATATTCAAAATTGTATATGCAAAAGCTTAGTTTGAGCTTGAAAACGAGGAAGCCGAGCTTCAGTAATTTTTTGTTGTCTTGATTTCATAGTGAGACATCGTATATCAAATGAATGAAAGAATCGGAATAGCTTTTATGTAAAATATGACGTTGAATAATATTCACTATGAGATTTTTACTGTTAAAGTCATACTGTCGAGTTACTGACTATTTATTTTTCTTGAAGTTCCTGTATCTGGCACGGTAAGGATATAGTCCTCCAAATAGGCAAATACATAAAAAGGTCGATGTCCATTTTAGATGCATACCCATATCCGACACTCACACTCGAGTCTGAGTAGATTACCTTAAGTCTTCGTGGGAGTTTGCACCAATTAATTGGATGATTTCCAGTTTATTGGTTGAGAGTAGAGTTTCTCAAATTAGATCCATTTCGTTAATTATGTTTTCTTTATGAGATTTCTTGGATTAGTTTCTGTTTCATGTTCATTGATGATGTAACTAAAATTGGGGTCCATCTGAGTCAAGCCTCTGAATCACATAATTCTTTGTTGGCATCAGTAAGTTGGAAAAGACTTTCTAGCCTTTTTGTCTTATCTTGACTACAAATCGAAAGCAACTGTAAACCTGTATTTTTTTTCAACAATCTTTTTCATTTGATATTTTTCTTTTCAGATTCAGATTCTGGCAGTGAGTCAGATGCTGGTAAAGCTTCAGTTCCTGTTAGTTCTACGAAGGTATCTTTATATCTCGGTAATTTGGGAATCAAAGGTTTTAGTGAACTGAAGACGAATGCACCCTTCTTTATCTCAAGTGGGCGTGTTTTGAAACATAATGTATCAAAGGTCTAAAGATTATCTTTCCCATCCTTTTGTGGTAGGAAAATTCAAATTTGGGAACAAATGTCAATTTGCAAAACAGCAGTGCTGCTGCTCCCAATGATGCAAATCGTAAGTTCCTCATCCTTGTATTTTCACTATGCATGCCTCGTGAAAATTTTGTCCAAGGTCTCTCTTAAAAATATGTTTTGTGCAGAGTCGTTAAACGAGTTTGGTCAAGTTGAGTTAAACTCTCATGATAAGCCTGGTGCTATTGAGGTAGAAGACCAACAAGAGGGTAAGCATAATTATTAAAAGGCTGTAGTGTTACTGTTGGGGCTCATCTCACCAAAATGCTGTAAAATTATAGAGGAGAGTGCTCCATCTGAGAGGCAAGTCTCCCCCGAAAAGCTCTATCATGTGGCTCTTGTGAGGAAACGTTTTGTTGACACCATACTTAAAGCTCGAGAAAAGGCACTTGAAAAGGTTAGTACGGTAGCCTTATGCATGTAGGTGCACTATGGTCAAAGACTCACCATTAACATATGTATATATATTTTACGTGGTTGAGCACAGGGTGTGAAAGGTGATCCGGTGAAACTGCAGATGGAGAGGGAGGAACTTGAAAGGCGGCAGAGAGAAGGTTAGGCTTTACGTTAATGTTGATTTTTTACTGGATTAATGTTCATTTGGAAATGTAGGTTCTCCACACCCCCACCCGGGGCAAAAAAAAAAACACCCATATGATCCCTTTTACTTTGATATCAGAAAAAGCACGACTGCAAGCGGAGGCCAAAGCTGCGGAAGAGGCAAAGAAAAAAGCTGAAGCTGAAGCTGCTGTTCAAGCCAAAAGGAAGAGGGAGCTGGAGAGAGAAGCCGCACGGCAGGCTCTTTTAAAGGTAAATGAAGATATCGTACTATGTATAAGCTGAGGTGGTGCCATGTTGTCAGTCTTACGTTATCTGACTCGGGTGTAAGTGTTGGATATAGGTATTCTTCATGGGTTTATTCAGTTATTTTGTTGTTTTTTAATGTATTCGGAGTCCTTGTAAGTCAAACATGGTTACGTCAGTGTCGATAAAGTGTTGGAGCAATATAGGTTATGCTGACACGAAAAGGCTTATGCCCTTTGCAGGTGGAGAAGACAGTGGACATCAATGAGAACGGTCGATTTATGGAAGACCTAGAGATGCTTAGGGCAACCAACGATGAAAGTTTGCCTGATTTCATGGAGGAGACTAGCCCAAGTCATTCTCAAAAAGAGTTGGGAAGTTTCAATCTCCGGGGAATTAGCAACCCCCTCGAACAACTAGGTTTATACATGAAGGCGGACGAGGAGGAAGAAGAAGAAGAAAAACCTCCCCAAAGTGCTCCGGTGCCGGTAAATGACATCGAGGAAGGTGAAATTGATTGAATTGTTTCCCCCTGTGCTTGTTGAGTCGAATCTAAGGGTTGTTCGAAATTATGCATGATAGACCATTCTTCGACACCATAAGGCAAAATCATATCTATAGAGATGAAGATTGGAATTATATACCTAAATGTGGGACTTAGGGTTCATGTTGTTTGGTTGGTAATCTTTTATTTTGTTTAGTGTTAAACCATGGGTTTATATGAAGCTGCTTGTTTGTATATACGTAGGCTTTTCTTTCTTCGTTCAAATCCTAATTGAGAAGTTAAACATGATTATTTTTATTTTGCTTATGTTTTATATTTAAAATTAAATAAAATAGGATCAATCTCGCATAATATAGTAATCGACTAAGAGAGTTTTAATTAATTATAAGAGTTAATTGCATTATATGTCTTGAAAGTATGACCCTTATTTTAAATTGGTGCTTAAACTTTTAGATGTTTCAATTTTATCTTAAATTAAGACTGTCATGTTGATCGTTTCAATTTCATCCCCAAATTATATCCATTCTTAATTGGTCCCCAAACTTGTTGAACATTCCAATTTCATCTCAAACTATACATATACCTTAATCACACCCTTGTTAATAAAGTCGGTAGGTAAGTTATATTATTATATGCTTTAAAAAACAAAATTTAGGTTAAATTATGGCGAATTATATTTGGATAAATTTGGAATGAAATTGGTATATTTCAAAAGTTTATGGACCAATTTAGAAATAAGTTATAGTTTAGGAATGAAATTGAAATGTTCAAAATTTTAAGGATTAATTTAAAATGAATCATAATTTGAGGATGAAATTAGAATATTCAAAAGTTTAAGAACATTGTAATTTGGGTACATATGATAAAATATAATTATATTGAGATAGTCGAATTCAACATTTAAAAGATGTAATAAAATAATTTTTGAGTTTCTTGAAGTGTTATAAAATAGTTAATATTAATTGAATATTTATTTTTGTCATCAAATAGTGGATAAAAAATTTAAAATTATCATCATTTTTATTTTATTATTCATGTAAATTCCGATACTCAATCCCTGTTATGTTCAACTCGTGATCTGCTTTACATAATATATTTATAAATTTCAATTAAACAAATATAAACTATTCTTTATGAAAAGAATATAAAAAATAAATTATTATTTTTAACTATCACAATTTTTTTCAAAAATTAATAAAATAAAATATAACTTCAACACGAGTTAAAAAAAAATCCTTACATAATAATTAAATACCCACAAAATCCATAACATCCCGTCCAATTAGATGCGAAGCGAAATGGGACAAATTCCACAAAACATAACATCCCTAATTATAATTATATAATTTTAATAAATTTAATAATTATTTTATAATTTTAAAAATTTAATATCAAAAACAACAATTCCAGTATAGTTTAATGAGAGCATACATTGCCCTAATAAATAATATGGTATACTCAAGAAATTTATTGAAAGATCAATAAATGAATTTCACTCAACAAATCACCTTTAACATTCTTCAATACTACATACAATAAATAATTTCCATTCAAAGTAGCATTAAAACTATACCTTCAACAGTCACCCTTATTAAACCATAAATTACAAAGTTATTACTGAAGTGACTTTAACTAAAAGATGTGACTACAAATTAGAAGCGTACTTGAATCAATCGCAAGTCGTTGGTTCCATGTTTAGAGGAGTAAAGATTCGTCACAGTTGGGCTTTAGATAATCATCCAAATCCAGCCTCATCATCTTCTTATTTGAAGAAGAGATTTGGGTTTGGTGATTTACATCGCCTGATTCTGCAATATTTTTTGAAGGTCGACAGTGGCTAAATTCATAGCTCCAATTCCCTCGGCTGCTGCTCCTCAATCGGTCACTTGGATCATGCGCACTCGACGCTTCCTATATCAATGTCAAAGCAGTATACATATACAACACACAATCAACTCAACTTTGGCATTTCCTAGTCACTCGGTAATTGGAAGCAAACATCACAATGTTACTAGGGGTGATCATGGATCTGATCGAGCTAGGTTTTTGACCCATCTGAACCTGACTCGAGTACAATACTCTTTTACCTATTATTTGACCTGAAACTCGACCATATTTTTAAGGTAAAAATGGCAAAGTGACTTGACATGACCCAACACACATTGAGACTGTTTCGTTTGAAAATACATCTCCACACAAACTTTTTCAATGCAAAAGCATTGTTTTTCCAACTATTCGATTTGAGTAATAATCAAAATTCAAATGTGAATTCTTGTTGAAAAATTAGTTGTTTGGAAATGTTTTTGCATTGAATTTTGGGCCAAAAGCACTTTCATAAGCATTCCCAAACGTCCCCTTAATTGAAAAAATATATAGATATAAAGATATTATAGTAATTTTCCCTAAATATATAAAGATCAATTATATTATTATTTACCATAGATTTGAACCCGACTTGACTCAATCTTATTCTTTCAAAAATTTAATCTGATTCAACCCAAACTCGATTATTTAAAGAAAACCCATCCTTATAAGATCGAGTCTGAACCCATCGAGTTCAGGTCAGATATTGATCCCTAGACGATACTCAGGCTTGGATTGTTAGATACGTCCTTATATGAATCACAACTTCATACCCATATTAGAAAATTAACCGAATGTAATAGATGTTAGACATGAGTAATTCAAGGAAAATGTAGTTGGTGTAGCAACACAAAAGTGGATACCGAATTCATATACTCGAATCCATTATTTGAATAAATAAAATAGATGTTGAAAAGGCAAACAACTTTCGGTGGAAATTGTTAGCCAAAACTTTCGGTGCAAATGGTTGATAATTGGCAGCAAGTTGGTTAAAAAGTGACATGGGATAATTACACATTTAGTCCCTATACTTTAGGGTATTTATAATATTAGTCCTTAAGCTTCAACTATAAATACCCTAACTCATTTAGTTTCAAAACCATCCCAAATCATTCTAGTTTTCTCTCAATACTAGAGAATTTAGAGAGTTTTATTGAGAGTTGCTTTCTCTTTTTTATCAAGAGAAAATTTTTATTGTTTTCTCCTTGTTAGATTGAAAGAAGTTGTAATTCTTATTTTATCATAGTTAAATTCTTCTATCTTTGCCCGTGGTTTTTACCCTATATTATTTAGGGGGTTTCCTCGTAAAATTTGTGTTTTCTTTTTATTCTTTTTTATTTTATCAAATTATCAGTTACGATTTTGCTCTATCCGATAGCCGTATTCTGCAACAATTGGTATCAGAGCCAGATTTGAGTGTGTAATATCTACTTATTGTCTTTGTGGTTGCCACCAAAAGGTGGATCATCCAACATAAGAAATTAAGAAGTTATTACTCATTCTTTGAAGGTTCCAGAAAACTATTTACGATAGTGAAATAGTGGGAGTTATCCGTAATATAAGCTATGACAATGAAATTTGATATTGAAAAGTTCAATAGGAGAAATTTCTCATTATGAAAATTGAAGATGAAAGCCATCCTGAGGAAAGACGGTTGTCTATCAGCTATCAGTGAAAGGCCGGTAGATTTCACAGATGACAACAAATGGATCGAAATGGACGGGAATGCTATGGCAAACTTTCATCTAGCATTAGCAGATGAAGTATTGTCAAGCATTGAGGAGAAGAAGACAGTTAAGGAGATATGTGATCATCTCACCAAACTGTACGATGCTACATCGTTGCACAATAAAATTTTCCTTAAGAGGAAATTGTACACTCTCCGGATGCCATAATCTACTTCAGTGACGGAGCACTTAAACACGCTGAACACTTTATTTTCTCAGCTTACATCCTTAAGATGTACAATAGGAGAACAAGAACGTGTTGAACTTCTACTTCAAAGTCCACATGATTCATATGATCAACTCATCATCAACTTAACAAACAGTAATGTCACAAGTCTAGTATTCAATGACGTTGCAGCTGCTGTTCTACAAGAAGAAAATCGACGCAAGAAAAAAGAAGATGGACAAGTAAATCTACAACAAGTAGAAATGTTGACAACGATGAAAGGGAGATCAACAAAACGTGACCAAAGCAGCAGTCACAAACATTGTTGTTGAAAACATTTTGATATTTCGATATAACAAATTAAGTTAAATGAATTTTAAGATTTTCCAAAATGATTTTCTAAGTATATTCGATATAATTATTCGAATATCAAAACATTACTCAAAATATTTCAAAAATCATTTTTAATCCTTACTTAAGTGTAAAATTAAGTTTTAATCTTAAAACAATTTCAAAATAATCTTTCAAAGTATTTCGAACCATTTCAAAGCCAAAAATTCCAGATTGCTCAGAGGGAACCGATTCCCCACCAAGGGGGTATCGATTCCCCCCCTGAATGGTTTGGCTCCGAGATTTCCAGAATGCTCGAAGGGAACCGATTCCCCCCTGTTCAACGGTCGAAATATTTGAATTTTACACTTAGGGAATCGATCCCCTATGAGGGAGAACTGATTCCCCCATGCTCCATGTTGTTTTATTAATTGTTTTCACACTAAAACGGCTATATTATCTTCATTAATTATCCCCAACGTTCAGAAGTGATTCAAGGTGTATTTAAACAAGTTCTGAAGCCCTTGATCAACAAGAAATCATAGAGAAACAAGAGAGAAAGCATCAAACATCAAGTTTGTGCAAATCAAGCCAATTTTCCTTTCAATATTCATTTTGCTTTCAAGAACACCATTTGTGCTCATTTGTAATTATCTTTGAGTGTTCTTTTCTTGTTCTAGAATTGTGCAAACATCTTACCTTGTGAGGTTTTCCTTGTAAGTTTGCAAATTTGTAATCTTCTCTTTGGGAAAGAGTGTTCTCAAGAATTGGGGTATATTCTTGAGGGTGTTGTAAGGTTATCTCTTTGGCCTCAAAAGAAAGAACAAATTAGTAAATTTGTTGGAAAATCCTTAGTGTGGATAGCTAAGGTAGTGGACGTAGACTTTGATTGAGAAAGTCGAACCACTCTAAATCGCTGTGCAAATCTTTTCAATTTTCTGCAAAAGCTTCCACCAAATTTTTTAATTGCCAATTCACCCCCCTCTTGGCCAATTCCGTCAATCG